GCACGTGCAATGTTCTGTTTATGTCGGTGCCCGTAGCTTTTCTTTCTAGAGATTAGCAGACCGTCTAAATTTCTATTTAAGTTTATATTCGCGGTTTATTCACGGATCGATCATCCGAAGTGATGATTAATTGGTCGGCATCTTTTTGAGAGTCCATGAGAATGGTGTCAAGTTTCTCAACCAGGTTTGCAATACGGATTTCTTTATCTTAAATTTTTCTTTAACTTAAATAGGTCCTTTATTGAATTTATTTATTCTCTGTCCAGGAATTGTTGTCTAAAGTAAATTCTAAGAAGCAAATCTTAAGGTTAATTTATGTCTCGTTGCGAACAGAAGGGGACCGTGAAGTCCAGGACGTAACATCGGCATATACAAGCTTATAAATGTTGTAGATAAAAATGTTTATCATCATTTCAGACGTCTTACAATGTATCTAAACCAAAAACACGTACAGATCGCTGTCATGCGATTATTTGCCTGTAAAACGTTAGGTGTTTTCGAACTTATGGAGGATACTGTGCATATATGTAGTTATATAAACGGCGATTCTATTGTGTGCAGTATGGAACTACATCCCTTCCGCTACTTTTACGATTTAAATGCTATGTAAAAGGACTACGTCTGTTTAAAGCAGTTCCTTTTGCATATTTTCTGGTGAGAAGCAGATTTTGGGACGGCATTTGTGAATGCCAGGAGCCGTTAGTCGATCCTTGACTTTTGTTGTGAGCGTTCGGGAAAACACGATTTGAGAAAAATTCTACGCGTTTTTAAACTGGAAAATCTATCAGGTCCATCTTCTTCAAAAACAAGTAGAGGGAGAAAATACACGATACAAACGACACACAAAAAACTCCAACAATATAAAAATTTATAAAACTACTTATCTATGAAAAAACAACAAAAAATAAAACTTAAAAAAGTTTAACCGATCAATACAAGATGGATGTTTGTATGAAATATATATGTTATAGTCAAAGCCCAAAGCACGGGCAATCCTAGAATTGGCAGGTTAATGCGCAGCAAAAACCAAGCGTTTTGGTCAAAGTCCGAAATAGTCTTGTTTTTCGGTTTTTGACTGTTATGTTTTTAGTCAATCCTAGGAGTAACACGGCTGGTTAAAGTTAAAATCTAAAAACACTTTTTTTACTTTGAACTTTGACTGGTCAATCCTAGGTAATTAAAATGACTGTTATGGTCAAAGCCCGAAGCACGAGTGTTTCTAAGACTGACTGGTCAATATCAGAAACAACCAAGCGTTTTGGTCAAAGTCTGAAATAGTTTTGTTTTGGCTTTGACTAGTGTGTTTTTAGGCAATTCTAAGAATGACTACCAAAGAGAGTGAGTCCCAGATGCACAAAATAAATCGGATACGGTAGGATGTGTCAATCGGACACAGATTCAATCGGATATACTAATATTAAAACAAGACTATTTCTTCTTTATTTCTTCTCGTAAAATATTACAATGGAAGGGAAGTGGCCAATTCGAGACAATAACCAGATCTTCAGGTCAATAAGCTTCTTTATTTCGAAAAATTTGACACAAACGTTTCGACTCCTAATTTGGGTCTCCTTCAGTGTACTACATATAACAATTATACAATTATATTAAACCGATTAACGGAGTTATATACTATCGCATAACCCAATACAAGGTTGAAAACTCACAAGCAAGTATAGGAAGAACTCAGTCCATCAGTCGCGCATCGCCATCAATAACACGCAATACCAAAGTCTCGGTAATAACGACTCGAAAAAACAAAACGGAACAACAACTAGCGCGACGGCCACGGACAGACTGAGCTACATCCTTAACAACGTTACTACTCCGAAAAACATTCCCCCACCGACGTCTACCATATCTAATAAATTTTGATTGGTGTCCTTCCCAGAGAGCATTATAATGTTTTAGAAACATTAAAAACATAAGTATTGGACGCTTTGTACATATTTAAAATGTTCAGATTATATCCTCAGATATTTTTAGAATATTCTAAAAATGTCCAGTATTACTTTTCTGGACATTTTAAAATTGTATTTTAAATATCTAATAGGCCACAAATAGATCAATGTAAGACGTTTTTTTCAATTCAAATAGACATATAAGATAGTAACAAATAAACTTGGATTTACATTAAAAATAAGTAACATATTTAAGTAGAAGAGAACAAGATCACGGCACTGAGCAAGTTGGACCGATCACTTCAATTACAAGAAAAAATGATATCTCTAATCATGTGTTTGACGGTACATTTGTGTTAAAAAGCTCAATATATTGCCAAATATATGTAGATATTTTTTTTTGTAATTGAGATGATCAATCCGACCGCTGAGCATCGTTCCTCGTTTTCTTCTAATTAGTATGTCAACCTACTTTAAAAAATTAAAAACAAATTTAAAGTAAGTAATGCAGCTGCATACATATGTTAATTTGCTAAACAAGAGCGTGAGATTGATAATCTTACTATGCGGGTTCAAGTCCTGTTCAATTTCCGTTTTTTTTCTTTATTTTTTCCTTTTATTTGCTATTATTTCACACTAATTTTTAGTTTTTTTATTTTTAATAAAACAATTTTAAAATATTAAATAATTATATGTCGGGTTTTATTTAATCTTTTATTATTATAATTGTAATAACTTTAGAATATAAACAAATAGAAAATTATGGTAAAATAATAATAAAATTTAAAAAATACAAAATAGAAAAAAATAGGAGTCATGACGGGACTCGAAGAATTAGTAAAATTATTAACTTTATGCTCAACCACTGCGCCAATTAATTAATTAGGATTTAGTTCTACAAAACTGAAAAATATTGTGCAGCATATAAATCAAAACAAAATGGCTATAAGATGGACATTTTTTAAATATTCAAATGTAAATACATTTTGTACGTCTAATAATGTACATTCTTAAAACATACAAAACATCTATGATGTTTATAGATGTTTCGAAATAAACCCAAATTTTGGCGTCCAATAGACGTTGTATGCTGTCTGACAAAGGGAGACTACGACGTTGTACCAATCGATTTGGACGAAATTTATAGAATTGATAGATTACTATGTGGAGTATCGCAGGGTAAAGTAATAAGACGCACTACTCAAGCATTCGCGAGAAAATCGAATTTGAAAATTTCGAGTTACTTTATAAGAATATTAAATAGATTGTTTAATCGAAGAGCGCGTAGCGTAGCGGTAGCGTACTAGGTTAGTAGTGTCGACGCTGTTGGTTCGAGTCTCGATATACTTTTGTTTTTTTTCAATATTCTACAGTATAATTTAAATGTAAGTAATACGTTTTTTATTTATTTATTGCATGTTATAAATGTGCATTGTTTTGCATAAAAAATTCGTGATTTAAAAACTACGGTAAAAATAGATTATTACTACTTACTAACTGCGGTTTTAAAAAGCGGATACTTAATTGTTCGCATGTAAAAATATACGCAACATGTTTTATTTATTGGAACTAGATGGGACAATACATAATGCAGGATGATACTTGTCATAAAAATAAGTGAAACAATAATTTTCACGACAGTGTGCACATCGTATGAACGCTGCATTTTTACATTCACATGGTTTCTTTAACACGTTGAGCGCCACGTCAGCCATCGGTGGCTGACACTGGACTTTCCGTTCAGGCCGCGTCAACCATCGATGGCTGACAGCGTGTAACATGAGAACTCTAAAATTTTACACTATTTTACGGAATTACAGAAATTATATTTAAAATTTACTTAATTTGGTATCATTTCAGGATTAATGGGATTCATTGTAACATGGCAAACATAAAAATGGTTTTCGGGATTGCTTTAGAAAAACGCGTGGCGCTCAACGTGTTAAAATATCTATAGAAAAACATACTTCGTTGACATTCATAAATATCTCTCTCTCGTTTGTTAATTTGAAAGCAAATCATGCATATTGTAGTAACATATTTCGAAAACTCGGGGCGGACATTTATGAATGTCAACGAAGTATGTTTTTCTATAGATATTTTAAAGAAACCATGTGAATGTATAAAAATGCAGCGTTCATACAATGTGCACACTGTCGTGAAAATTATTGTTTCACTTGTTTTTATGACAAGTATCATCCTGCATTATGTATTGTCCCATCTAGTTCCAATAAATAAAACATGTTGCGTATATTTTTACATGCGAACAATTAAGTATCCGCTTTTTAAAACCGCAGTTAGTAAGTAGTAATAATCTATTTTTACCGTAGTTTTTAAATCACAAATTTTTTATGCAAAACAATGCACATTTATAACATGNAATAAATAAATAAAAAACGTATTACTTACATTTAAATTATACTGTAGAATATTGAAAAAAAACAAAAGTATATCGAGACTCGAACCAACAGCGTCGACACTACTAACCTAGTACGCTACCGCTACGCTACGCGCTCTTCGATTAAACAATCTATTTAATATTCTTATAAAGTAAATCGACATTTTCACATTCGATTTTCTCGCGAATGCTTGAGTAGTGCGTCTTATTAGTTTACCCTGCGATACTCCACATAGTCATCTATCAATTCTATAAATTTCGTCCAAATCGATTGGTACAACGTCGTAGTCTCCCCTTGTGAGTTGACAATATATGTAAAGATCATTGACCTCCAAAGTGCTCCGTTTTTGTAAACATTTACCAAAACCATATATGCAGCTTTATTTACGTCTCTCATTAAGTCATCGTGTGCCTAGTACTCATAAGCGCGCAAAACGGCACTGTTTCTTTACGCGGACGCACGTTTATTCACGGATATTTAGGTAATAACTCAATAATTATTGCAAATTACAAAATGATAAAAATCTTTTCAACTTAGTAACCTGGTGTCTACGAAAGGTGGCACGGTTATAATCAGACATTTTGTGTGTGTGCGCGCGCGCGCGCGTGTGTGTGTAGTATAGTAGTAGTAGTAGTATTAGAGTAGTATAGTAGTTAACTATATATGTATAAAACTAAAACATTTTTATATTGATCATTAGGGAATGTTTGAGCCTTTTTTGAAATCGTTCTTTGTGCGAACTTCTGATCCCACTCATATAAAACTTCTGAAACTTGATATTTTAACAAACTTGGCAACTGAAACAAGTATCAGCGTTATATTGAGAGAATTTCAGACTTATATCTCCAGCAATGATAAGGAATTTGTTGGTGCTAGTATCCAAGCAATCGGTAGATGTGCAAGTAATATTAAAGAAGTCACTGATATGTGTCTAAATGGATTAGTGTCTTTGTTAAGCAATAGAGATGGTAAGCTTCTAATAACTTACTTTGCCTACATGCTTGCCTACGCATTTACGCACAGACGCATAATATATTTTATTCTTTTACAGAGGCTATTGTGGCTGAAAGTGTTGTGGTAATAAAGAAACTTCTACAAACACAGCCAAATGAACACAAAGATATAATTGCTCATATGGCTAAGTTGATGGATTTTATAACAATACCACAAGCCAGAGCTTCTATCTTGTGGCTTTTAGGCGAATATTCCGATAGAGTTCCTAAAATAGCACCAGACGTACTTCGAAAAATGGCCAAGAATTTCGTTAACGAACAGGATATAGTAAAGTTACAAACCTTGAATCTGGCAGTGAAACTGTGTCTGAACAATCCTACACAGACAAAACCATTCTGTCAATATGTCTTTCAGCTTGCAAAATATGATCAAAATTATGACATCAGAGATAGAGCTCGTTTTTTGCGACACTTTATTTTCGAAAATGAAGGCAACGTAAAGAAACTTGCGCAATTTACTAAGAGAATCTTTCTTGCACGAAAACCGGCGCCGACGTTGACATCTAGATTTAAAGAGACAGAATATCAATTAGGTACATTGTCTCATTATCTAGATATGCCATGTGCGGGTTATCGGCCATTACCACCTTTTCCAGAAGTAACTCAAGATCCATCCGTACGAGATGTTGCACTATCAATTACACAAGATTATAGAGAGGAACGATATAATAGAAAAGAAAAGGAAAAGAAGAAAAATAAAGAAAAGGAGAAGCCATTCTACAGTGACGAAGAAAGCACTCCTACTGGAGGTACAGAATATATAATCCAATGATCTGATTAACATCTTTACAGTAATGCATATCAGATTCTAATAAATCACATAAAGGATCTTGAAGTTTGTAGTTCACACGTGGTGGTTGAAAAAAAATTTGTACTTCTAAACTATTGTTGGAACGTTTTGATTACTTGTATTTCGTACATTGTCCGTGAGAGACATATCACTAGAAGCGATCTGCGATTGTGTATATGACGGTTTTGAGAAAAGTCAAAAGTTTTTAGTTTTTTTGGCAACTGAATTAACCACATATAATGAACACATGCATTTTGTGTGGTCGTCGACTACAGGCTTCGAGGTCTTTTATTTTATTTACTAAATTTATCTTTAAGTTTTAGTAGATTTATTTTTTCGTTTTTAACCAAATAATTATCACATCAGATTCATTTATCTTCATTTTTAGTATCAGACAATCAGTTGTCTGATTCTTCATCTAGCGAATCTTCAGATGAAACTGATGATTCTTCAGAATACATGAGTGAGTCTGATAAATCTGAGACAGGTAGAAAAAATTTGGAGATAAAGTCTGATGATTCTGAAAGTGAATCATCGAATTCCGAAGAATCGGATTCTGAAGAAGAAGAAAGCGAAACTCAAGAAAGCGAAGAGGAGAAGTCAAAAGTTGTTAAGCAAGAAGCAACAGAAAAATCAAAAAGCAACTTGGATCTGTTGTTAGATCTAAATGATGGTTAGTTTGTTTATGTACATACAGAAAAGTTTTTCTTGACTCAATGTTTCTTTGACTCAACTGATTTTCCTTTGAGTAAACAGAATTTAATTCCGATGAATCAAATTGTCTATCTCTATTATCGTACATTTGCATATCCAAAACAAAGATAATTTGACTTTTCAAAACGATTTTTGCCGAAGAGTTCAAGGAATATTGAAAAAATTTAAGTGTAGAATAATTAATTCTAAATTTTTATAGTCTATATATAAGGTGATTTAGAACAATCTGTTATCTTTGAAAATATATATTTTTGATTAAATTCTAAGACAACTTTTTATTTGGCAAACTTTTGTTTGAACTTACTTTTAGAGTTATTAATAAAAATAGTTGACTTACCACGAGTCAGATACAAGAGGTAGGCAGGGGCGGCAACTCGTGATTGATAGTGATTTAAGTGATGCAAATTACAAATGAGTAAATAAATAAGATAAAGAGAGAGAGAGAGAGGGAGAGGGAGAGGGAGAGAGAGAGACAAAGAAAGATACAGAGAAAGTGTGTAACGATTAGTTGATCGCGTCAGGCACCACACGTAATCGCCCGCGTCTAACGGTAAGTTGCGCCACCATTTTTTTTTTTTTATATTCCTTTATGGATACCTCGACCTTGGGGAACAGGCAGAAGTTATGTGGGATTTTCTCTTCCTTCCCACGAGAGAGAGGAGGTTTACCCACTAAAACCTCTATTGTGTGCCTAATCTGCTTCTCAAAGGGAGGAGCTCCTGGTTAAGACTCTGCCGGGACCCACTCTCAAGCTTGCATAAGGAAAGGAGGTTAAGCCTCATCTTTTTGTTACTTTACTGGCGACGCAGCAGGACACACGCCGCCACGTCGCCTCCACTCGCGACCGCGTGCAAAACGGACCAGGGCCCCTACCCTGAGAACGTCATCCCCGGGACTACCGCCCGCCCTCATTCTTTCTGTGTTCCGCTAGGTCGATGGGCTAACGAAAGAGCCGGCTCTTCCAACGCCCACCGTCCCAGGCTTCACTCCCTCCACAAGAAGGGGAGAGTTGTTTTCGGGAGCTGCCTTAATCCCCGAGGGAAAAGCGCGGAAGGTGGACCACCCCACAGTCCGCTCGCGCCCGCTCTCGGAAGCTTCCGTGAGAAAGAGAGAGTTGCGCTACCTCTATTTATCTCTTGTATCCGACTTGTGGTGAGTCAACTATTTTTATTAATAACTCAAAAATTAAGCTTTAGATACAATTTGGATATAGTTCCGAATGGCTCCTGCTCCCGATCGATTTGAAATTTTGCACAAAAATAGTGTTCGATGGGACAAACAAAACGCGCGTAGTCCCCACTTTGGAAAATAAAAAATAAATTTAAAAAAAATAAACACTATATCGATTAAAATTGATTTTAGATGTATTTCAGAATGATTCCTTTTTCCGATCAATCTAAAATTGTGCTTAAAAATCATGTTCAATGAGACAAACAAAACGCGCATAGTCACTACTTCGAGAAATGAAAAACAAATTTAAAAAAATAAAAATATTAACTAAAATTGATTCTATATGATATGTAGTAAGTTTTTAAAAACCAATAAAAAAAGTAAGTTTTTATGTCTGTTTTGTGTGTAGGCAGGGGAGGGGCTTTGTCTCCCCTTCTGCACTCCCCCTCGGATAATCCTAAAAACGCTTCTTTTTAAATGTTTTTTTTCGAGATGGCGGCTTAAATATGTCCGACCGACAAAAAATTCTTTCACATTTGTTTTCAGTTTTTATTAACTTTTTTTTAAATTTTTTAATTTCTTTTTACGTGTGGAAAATTTATTACGGATACCCTGACTTTGGAGGAAGTCAGGGTTATGTGGGACTCCCTTTCTCTATCTCGCAGGAAAGAGAAGATATATTCACTAAAACCTTTATGGTGTGCCTACCTTGCCCTTAATAAGGAGGGATCCGGAACTCCTGGTAAGGACTCTGCCGGGAACCCCCCTGTGGGCTTACACATCCCAAGGAGGAAGAGAAGAGCAAGCTCGTCTCTCCCTCCAGTAGACATTTTTAGGATGTCGGCGACTCAGCGGGCACACAAACCGCTGAGCCGCCTCGGCTTAGGGTCTTATAGGACGGAGAGCGTGGCTCCCGCCACGATCCCAGACTCCGGACGGCAGCGAGAAAACAGGACTCGGGACGCAAGGAAAGAGAACTCTAAGCACCCCGGAATCTCCCGGTACCGTCCCGCCACACAAAACCTTACCCCGCAACGCGCACATGGGAGAAAGAATTAACTGTCTCCTCCGGCAGCGAGCGGGGAAAGACAAGCGGACCTTCTCCCCCCGGAAAGGGTGAGGAGGAAGGAGGGCCAGACCCTCCGACTTACTAATCCACATCCTGACTAACGTTGAGGGGCCCGGCGCCCGGCACAAGCGGCGAACTTGTCGGGTTCCGTCTCGGACGAGACCTGGTCCTCGCCGCTTTTTAGCTTTGAAGACCGAGGTCCCGGCCTACTCTTGCCCTTTCCTTTGCCACGCTTCTTGGCAGGAGAAGGGGCTCCTCCTTCAGCCTGGCCGGACGCGGAGTCAACACTCTTCCGCTTCGGAAGGGGGTCCGTCTATCGGCTCCATCTCCCGCAGAGACAAGGGGACTATCTACCGTCCTCTGTCCTGCGCGACCGCTCCCACTCTTGCGCAACGGGAGAGCGGGAAACATCGTTTCCGACTCGTTGGGTTCTACCCCACCGGGAACATCCAGTGTTCGGGGTGGAGACCTGTCAGCAGGTCTGGCGGCGGAGGCAGGAAGACGTCCCGCCAACTTCCGTCTGTTTGCGCCGCTTCCCACCGGTGAGGGGCGAGGGCATGCTCTCCCCCCCCCCTATGCCCATCGGACTTGCCGTTGTCTGCGCAAAGCGGGCAACGGGGCGGCGCCGTGTACCTCCGTGCCGGGTGTGAATTACTGCCACACTTATAACAGCACGGGGGTCTCTCCGCTCCCGTGCATCGCTGCCTGGAGTGTCCGAACCTCAGACAGCGGTAACACTGCATCGGGCGAGCCGCTAACGCCTCCACCGGCAGCGAGACTCACCCGATGCAGACGCAACGACTCTGTCAACTAAGGGTAGCCGCGCCCAGGCCGTACCTACGCCAGCAGGAGTTAGGCGGAGTTCTCCAACCCTCACCTCCTCTTGCCGGCAATCGCCGCCTGTTGCTAAAGAGAACATTAAGTCCTTCCTGGAAATTGAAGTGACCAGATCCTTGACTCGGATTTCTCCGAATTTTCGGAGTCTGGTCACTCTTACTCTTTCCCCGACGAGGGGACAGACAGTCGGTGAGTCGATCCGCCGTGGCCACCCCCCGGGCACTTCCAGCACCAGTTTTCCGGACGCAGAGGGACGGGAACGAACTCCCGAGACCTCCGCGCTCCCCAGGTTTACATGGACTGCTTTCTGGAGTACCTCCGCGTAACTTTCTTCCGGGATGGAGATCGTGACCGCCGCACGCGACGGAACACGCCCCATTCCGGACACACCTACCTTCCTCGGTTTCGACTGAAGAGGAAACAAGGGTGGGACTCACACCCACTCTTTCCACGTCTCGCGCTCTTCCCTCTTCCCCAATGTGGAGGACCCGGAGGCAGGATCAGGGGCGACGGCACCGGCGCCAGGCGCCCGACGCGTATGCCGCCCTATCACAGCTCCCCACCCACCCTGGGTGGGAAACTCTGCTAGGGGAGAGCTTGTAGAGACACTGGCGGGCCTCAGGGGAGTACCGCTAGTCCCTATCCTGGAAGCCGCGCCCCCTTCACCGCGAGACTCGGCCGGCAAACGTTAGGAGACTTGCTCCCAAAAACTCTACCAACCGAGTCTCAAGAAGGCTCTCTAGCTTTTCTAAGAGGGCCTCCACTCCTTTGTCCCTCTCATTGGCTCGCTCCGTGTCCGTCTGGCCGGACACGGTCGAGGTCGCGGGACGTGCTGTTACTGCAGTCTCAGCCGCCTTCAATTGTCCTGCTTTTGCTCCCTGCCCGATACCCGAAATAGGAAGCCGGGGAAGAGCTGCGGGGAAATCCCCAAGCATCTCAGGAATGGGAATCTTTTATGCTTTAAGGTGTCCCTCTATCGCTTTCTTGGCGAAGTTACCTTCGCCTAGAGGGAGCCAGAGTCGCCGACCGCCCGCCAGCGCTCTATGTCGAGGTCCTCGTAGGCCTGTTTGGCCTTCCCAAGGTCCGACGTCGGACCTTTTCCCGGAGGCCGGACAATTCGGACTCGAGAGCCGCCACCCGCAAAGACGGCTCGTCCTTTGTGGGTAAAAGAGGGAACCTGCTTTCCTTAATACTCACGCCTACTTTATCTAGGCGAGGCCCCATCACGAGCCGTCTCTTCTTCGGGGACTTCGTCTCTATGGTGAAGGCCGGTTCCTCACCGACTTTACCCTTCGCAGGCGTAAGTTCTCCCACAGCCCCTGCGGTCCAGACCGTGGGTAGTCCGTCACTGGATGACGACGGAAGGGAGCCCGGGACGAGAACTCCCTCTCGCCGGGATCTGGGGATCCGATTCCTGCTCCGGTAAGACCTTCTTCTTAAGACCCATCTTTCATGGTTTAAAGTGGTGGTTTGATTTTGGAGTTTTCCTTCTCCTAGGCCGACTGCCCACACAGGGCTAACGAGCTCGGCCTAACCGTGGATTCACTCTTAGTCTGGAAGCTCGTGGAAGACTACTCCGGCAGGGGAGACCCTGCCAGGAATCGAAGTACCCGCCGGCACAGCTCTTCCAGTCACTGTCCCACGCAAGTCCGAGCACCACGTCAAGGCGAGTCCAAACTCGCTCGGGCCTCCGGGAAATCTTTGTTTTTTTCTTCTTTTTACTTGGAGAAGATCTCATATGGATATCCTGGCCTCTGGGAAGATGGCTAGGGTTAAGTGGGACTCCCTCCTCCCTCCTGCAAGAAGGAGGAGATTTACTCACTAAAACCACCATGGTGTGTCTACCTTGCTCATTTCAAGAAGGGACTTGGAACCTTTGGTAA